TGCCATTTTCTTGAGACACAACAGATGCCAATCAAAAAGCTAGTGTTGCCTGCTCCCTGCTGAACTGCAACCCTAATAGCTAAGCTGTATAGCAGCCCTGTGCCCACTTGAACCAATCACAGGCCTAATTTGGGCCAATTACAGGCCTGCAGCTGCTATATAAGCAATATTCCCCACACTTTGGGTGTTAGTTTTGGAGGGGTCTCTCCAGTATACTGACCCCTCTGTACTACTGCATAGGTCCTCTTAAAGACTCAGTTTGGTGATTGGTGGACCTGTAAACATACTGGTGATTTTTATCCTGAGTGGTGTGGATGGGATAGTCATTTCAAAAGAAAGAGTGATAAACACTAGGGACTGTCAACTCTAAAGAAATCCACAGACCAGTAACCAAGGAAGATCAGTGACAGAGACCAACCCCCAGCAAAGTCAATCCATGGCATCTGGCATATGCTGGCATCAGATGACAGAGGCCAGCAGTAGCAGTGACCAGCAGCCTGCTCTGCCAACTATTGGCATCCAGGCTTGTCCGACATTGTTCTGGCATTGTCTGGTGGCGTCAGAAGCACTAGCAGAGCTGCACATCGCTGATTCGTGATTTCCATCTGGATTGAACAAAAGAACCTTAACCAACTGGCAGCACTTCTAGGCCCTCACACTCAAGTCACTGCCCAAGTCCTTACTCACTGGTTCCCAAACATGATGTTCGTGTTCCACTTGCTACCAGGCTCCTCCTAGGAAGTCCTTGACCCAGAATCTGGCCTGAAAGCCTTTTCCCTTTGCCTAGGCTTGTGTTCTCCCAACTAGCTGATGCATTCTCGCTCCTTCAGGGCAGGTAGTAAGGAGACAGAAGAGGCTCACTAAACTTGAATATTCCAGGCCTCCCTCTCTGTCCAGTCCAGCTTCGCTAAATCCCACTCCTATCACTTAGCTCTTCTATGTGTGATCTCCTTGACTTCACATAAGAATTTGATGCGGTTCTGCTGAGATATGACTCCTCTACATGTCTCAGTAGAGCTTAGAACAAGATGCTCACAGGCTATTTCCAGAAACCATAACCATCCAACCAAGCCCAGCCATGTCCCAGACATTGCCAAATCCTTTACCTCTCCCTGGGTGCTGTAAGACTTACAGATTCTCTCCCACCACCTCCAGTCCACATTTGTGCCCAGAACCTTCCAGGGTACCTTGGAGTCAGGCCTAAAATTCTCAGACTGCTCCCTTTTCTCCCTCAATCCCAATGCCTTGTCTTTGCTTAGGGGCAGATCCAGCCAATTTAAGTCTCAAGAGCTCCTCCACAGTCTGTACATTTAGAACCAGTGAGGATCCCTGCCTGCCCATGCTGTCCCCATCTGCTCCTTCCAATACATGTACCAGAATTAAGACCCTGAACCTTCTGCCAGAGACTAGTGGAAGCTAACTTGATTCCTGCCTGGAAGAAACTGGTGGGGAAGGGGTGTAAACAATAATTTCTATCAGGTGTCCTCCACAGCAGACCTGAGCTGGCCACTTCACACTCTCAGCCCTCTAGGATCACCTCTGTCAGAGAGCTGGGCCATAAGAGAGGGGACCAGGCCAAGGTGCCTTCCCATAGAATTAGCCTGGCCTGTGGCTTTAAGGTTCTTGGTGCTACAGTGCCTGACTACTCAGAGTACTGACCAGGAAGCTCTAAGACATGGTTACAGAGGAAGTGGTGAACTACAAGTTTTCCTGAAACCAGGAATGGGCACTAGATTCCCAGGGCCTGGCCTGGTTCATGGAAGTAGGTGGTGAGTCTAATGGGGGGAGTAGAAGCACAGTTCTAGTTAGATATATGGGAAGCGCCCAACCATACCATTAGCAGAGAAGAGTATGCTTCATCTGGAATCCTAATCTTGGTTCCAGATCTAGAGATTGAGTGAAATTCCTAGATTAAGGGACCCTAGAGCCAGTGTCTCCTATTGCTGAAGAGCAGAGACAGATAGAACAAACTAAAACAGATTACTCAGGGGACCACCCGAAGGCCTTGGAGTCGCAACAGCTGCTCTACCTATAGTAGGGCAGCCCTTCTCCTGAGGCTCCCTCTGACCACAGCTCAAGAAGTGGCCCCTTCTGGAACTGATTGTAGGTGTCCCAAATGCCTCCAAGGAGCTAGGAACCCTCAGATGAGTTCACAGCTGGTTGAGAACCTACTCAGGATATGCCCCTTATGCAGAAGAGAGGCTGAGGTGGGTATATCTCCTAGAAAAGGTCTTTGTGTAGGGAGATCTTGGAAATTTGTCCTGGGTATAACAACCTTCTGTACAAGTACCCTGGAGAGCAGAGCCAGGAGTAGATTTGGAAGGCAAAGCTTGGTGAAGTCACGCTCTGGACTGCCAGCACTGCTGTTACCTGGTGACAGATATCCTTCAAGATGGAGTCTCATAAGTGTTTTCAAGGGCCATGCTCAGCCCAGAGCTCTGTTTTGACACCCTCAGGGCAGCTTTCTGAACTCACTTCCCGTGGCTGTGGGGCCAGGAGCTCAGACACAGGAAGTGTGGTCCTCAAAGCAGTACAGACACAAGCCCCTTGTTTCATTTCTCTGACTTCAAGTTTCATCTTGAAAATAGGGTGATAGCACCTGTATCACAGGGCTTTGAGGGTTCAGCTAAATTCCAAGAAATTTCCCCAGAAACAGATCCCTGGGTGCCTATTTTCTGAGTCTGATTCTAAAGATCGGGCCCAAGGAGAAAAGTACAGATCTCTCTCAGCACACCTGTCCCCCAGGTGGTGGAGAAGGGCCTGGAGCATGCACACAGAACCCTCTGAGTTTGCTTTTACAGATTGCATCTACATGATGCTTTTGACTCTGGAGTAACATGCCAGACTTTAACAACTGGGATAGGAGGCAGAGGGCCAGAATTTTTCCCCTAGGTCTGCCTCAAAATGCTGAGTTAGCTGCTTTATGACTCAAAGTTCCAGGCCAGGGAGAAAAACCAATTTCTCCTTTTTTTCAGCCTATTGTTTCATAACTAATGTCTTTCAAAATGTACAGAGCTTTTATAGTTTCTAAAACTTTTCATACCCAGGATCTCCTTTGATTCTCATAACAACTCTATGAAGTTGGCAAGGCAGGATTTTGTTCTTATCTCCAAGGAGAGCAAGCTGTGACCCAGAAAAATGGATTGTTGGGGGACCCACAGCCATGGGCAACAGTGGCAGGGCCATAGCACATTTCTCCTGACTTCCATCCACTGTTTTATTGCCTCTTTTTCTCATTTAAAGCTTGAGCATTGTTGTTGAACTTTTACAACAGTTGGTTATTTCCAGTGTGGTACATTGTCTACATTCAGTAGCCATGAGCAGGTGGTCTGCAGTCCAATGTGTACATCCTGTTAGACCAGTACAAGGGTCTTTCCCTCCACACTCTTCAGTAGACAGTTCTGCCCAAGACTTGGAAGACTTGCAGGTCAACTTGGGCAGGAGTACACTGTCTGGAGGAGTCACCAGGGTTGTCATGTACCCTGGAAATAGGTTCAAGAGAGAATTGATAGGAACAAAGTCTAGAAAATCACTCTGAAAGAAACAATGTTGAGCACATAAAAGATGAGTGGGGTCTCCCTATTGAGCTTTGTCTGTTTCTTCCATTGTTGCTTCTTTTGTTTTAGACTCCAGGAAAGAGATACAACAGAAATGCTCCCACCAGAGGGTTCTAATCTTTTGTTTGTATAGTCCAGCTATGCCAAGTGGCAAAGAACATAAAATGATTGTACTGATTTGTGAAACATAGTTAATGTCTGGATTTTTATTAAATTAATCCATACGTGTGACATATTAGTCAGCTTTCCCATCACTGGGTCAAAATACCTGATACCTGCAATTTAAAAGAGAAGAGGTCTGTGTGGCTCACGGTTCTGGAGGTTTCAGTTCATGGCCAGCTGGCTCCAAGACAACGATGGCATGGTGGCTCAGCATGGCAGAGGAAAGCTGCTCAATCGATGGCAGCTAAAAAGCAAAAAGAGCTGGAATGGCCAGAGCAAGAGATACACCTACAAAGGCAGGACCCCAGTTACCTATCTTCTTCAATTGCACTCCACCTTCTGGTAACACATTCAGGGATGAACTCTACTGATGAATATAGCACCCTATGATCCAATCACACATGCAACTTTGGGGGAACATTTTAGATCTAAGCTATTATACACGGTTAAGCTGTAAGCATGGTGCCTTTGTGCCTCCCAGTAGCTGGTGTTTACATTTCAGGAGGAAAAGTTACCCTTTTCATGTGGGATGGTTGAGCAAAGGCTATGGTTTAGGTCAGGCTGACTCCACCCTGAATTCAAATACTGCAGAAAGCATAAACTAAAGGCAACAGTTTCCTAATTCCTTTCCTGCCATCACCTCAGAGAAAATGACTTTCAGCTATTTTTAGCTCACAGGTTTATTGTGCTTGTCTCTATTCACCTGAATAGTGTATTCATGTTCTTGTTTTATTTTATTTTTTTTTTGTCTCAACCTCAAATATGTACTGAGCACTCTCCATATGTCAAGCTCTGCTCCAGTTACTGGAAAACTTACATCATCAATTAATGCTCTAATGATAGACAAACATTTAAATCACTGGCACAGCAGCTTCTCTGAGTGTAGTCACATCTCTAATTTCATTTTAAGGAATAAGGCTGGGCAAAGTGAAAGTGACAGGAAGGGCTGGGTTATGGAGTGAGGACAAAGGTTATTTCTTGAAGACAGTGTACTTGACTGAAAGCATTAAAAGTGAATTTTTGGAGTGTCCTGAGGGTTTCAGGACCTCTTGGACACTAAAATGCCCTAGCAAAATAATTCCACAACACCAAGAAGCCTAAAGGGTCCTTATGTAATTGTAGTTCAGGAGGAAAAGATGCACACAGGCTCTGATAAGGACTGCAGGGATCTAGAAAGGAAGCTTCTCACTTGGAAAACTTACACTAAGGGGAATTCCTGAGATGCTTAATACTACCTGGAAGAAAAGAACCCAGCATATAGTGAGGGATCCAGGCTTGAGATTCAGGTGTAGCACTTCATAGTTTATTATCTTTTTGCTTGCCTAGACATCAGTTTCTTCTATGTAAATTGGCAATGAATCCATCTTCTTTGTAATAATCTGAAGATGAAATCATAAATGGTCCACCAGCTGTAAAGAGCCATAAAGTTAATTATTATTAGGGAGTACATGTAAAGAATACCTGAATGAGATTTTATAAATACAATTTCATTGTGTCTTATTAATTTTCCTTTCTAAAAATAAATGACTCCTGCCACTAATTTATCATTATAATAATTCTTATTCATGCCCTGGATAATAGGAGAAGTCATAGTCACACTTTGTGGTGGAAGGATTCTTTTAGTTAAGTAAATCTTTAAATGCCAATGGCTGAGTTTTCCCTCTGCCTCTCAGAGGCTAATGGGTTGTACTATCTTACAGTCTCTGTGGGAGAAGTTCATTGGCTGTTTTAATCTACAGGAGGAGACTCGCTGTTTGAATCCAAGTCACAAAATAATTCCAGTCAGCCATACATGAAGCTCGGTCCACATAAAATTTATTGCAAGTTTCCTCTTGCCAGAAACTATGTTAATGAGCTTCTCAGAGAGGAATGTGACCTTTCCCCTGCCAGTTGGGGGTATACTCTGGTGAAATAGACAGACACCAATAAATTTAATGCAAAACGATCAGGGATCAAGTCTAAAAATAGTAGTATGTATTCTGTGTAATGGGAAAGCAAAGAGGAAAGGATGGAATTCTGAATTGGGACCATCTGAGACATACAGGAAGGTGAAGATGAAACAGTCTTGAAAACTCAACAGGAAGTTGGCAGAATTAGAGAAGGGGTGGGACTGAGCAATGGAGGAGCTTAGAGAGACTTTGGGGAAGGGAGCAAAGGCTTTGGTTTGTTGGAAGAGTGATGGAGAAGGGGTCTGGAGCCACTCTGGTTTAATTCTGTAGACAGCAGTGTCTTGTCTTTGCAGGTGTCAGAAAAGATTGGATCAAATCAGAACGCTTATGGGATAACATAATCAGTCACACGTAAATGTAGGCATGGTGCTTCCCTTTCCTGTTCCACAGCAAGGAGATTTGGAGGTTGGGGGGCTCAGCAAAGGCTTCTGGGTTGCATCTGTCTGAGCCCTCCCAGGAATCTCTCCTTACTTTCTTTTGCAAATACCCAATTACTTGTTCATTTCCTCCGTTGCCTAATCAGTGAGATCAAATCAATCACTGTTAATTCTAAGTTCAGTTTATATATGATGTGCTTCCTCACATCATACATAACTGCACGATGTGTAGGAACTTTCCAAAGGCAGTTCAGGAGGGGGAAAACTGAACATTGAGTTAACAACTTCATCTGAAGCTGAATCATTACAAATGACAGCAAAGTACTCTTGTGACATTAAAACTGAATCAGAATATACGTCGTAGAGTAACTCCATACTAATAAGGAAAAACAAGAACCTATGTTCCAGACCTTAGAACGTAAAAGTTAAAAGGCCCTTGTACATTAATATTCACAGTAATGGGTTGCAGGGTAGCCCGGTTGGTAAGCAGCGCTTTAGTGTCAAGCTGCCAGTCTTAAATCCTGGGTCAGCCCCTGAGACTACATGACTGCAGGTGAGCCTTGATCTCACTGACCTTCAGTTCACTCACCTATAATGTAGGAATGGAAACAGTACTGTGCCTAGGAGTTGTTCTGAAGGGCAAACGAGTCAGTTTAAGTAAAGCTCTTAGAAGAGTACAGGACTAAACATTGCTTCCATGTGATAAATGCTACATAAATATTAGTATTATTGTTATAAGTATTTCATTTCATTTCTCTGACCCTGGGGGAGAGAAGGAACTCAAACACGCTTGAATCTTATTATGTGACACTACTGACATTTTTAGGTTTTTTGAGACAGGGTCTTTCTATGTGGTCCAGGCTGGTCTTGAAATCCCGGTCCTCCTGCTTCAGCCTCCTGAGTGCTGGGACTACAGGTGTGTGCTATGATGCCTAGCTTAGGTGACTCTTGTTTAAACACCTCATTTCACTTAATATTGATAACTATCCATAGGCTGTTATTACTATCCAAGTTATACTAATAAAGACATTGTGAAATGTTAGGTAATCTCCGGAGCTGCCAGCCAGGAAGCGAAGCCCAGGAAGATGTGGCCTCAAGTTCCCTCCGTTGTATAATGAACTTCCTTATGTTCAGAACATTCTAGGCAAGCTGGCAGATCCAGTTTTCTCTCTCTGTTTGGATACACTTTGTCATGGATTACTAATATTGGGAATGAATCTACTGTATTTTCCTGTTTATTTTCTCTGATATGAGCCTGCAAACAGCTTTCACAGAGTGGAAGTTGCCTAGCACTCCACAAATATGACTCCTTTTTGGTTCTGCTGTAGCTCAGGACAGAGACAGATAGAAAGCAGGCTTGCAAGGGAAGTAACAGCCTCTTATACTTTACAACACTAAGAAAAAATGAGCCGAGACTGAAGTGGAAGAAAATCCACCCGATGGGTTTAATCAGTGGAGAGTTATAATCTCTTAGCATGTGGAGAGTATAAGTTACTGCCTAAGTGACTGTGTTCAAACAATGGAGGGTATTTGTCCCCAGAATAGAATATATATATATATATATATATATATTCTACTCTTGAGATTGCTCAGTGAAGAAATACTCCCTGGTTTTGACACCTCAATCCAAAACCAAGGAAGGCCAATTGGCTTGTAAAAGTGGTAGAGCACGTTTTGAACTCAGGGCTATTCTCATCCAACTTTGCTGCCTCACACGGTGAAGAGAGGAATACCAAACACAAAGACAAGTCTCGTAGACTTTTCTGGTAGACTTGTGTGGCTGCTGGTAGGAAATGACTTTAGATTTAATGTCGGACCTTGTTCTACTCCAGTGCTCCTTTGATTCAAGTAAGAAATAATTCTAGGAACTTTTGACCCTGTGCTCTTGTTGGTAGTAATTTAAAATCTTCATGAATCTGGAGTAGAGTACTTGCCTAGCATGTGCAAGGGCCTGGGTTCAACCTCTGGCACTGCAAAATGGAGAAGAAAAGCAGTACTGTGATCTTACTTTAGGACTTTTAGCCTTACTGCAGTACAGTTTTTCCCATAGAAAGTCTCAGAACACTTCCGTGTCTCAAAAAGAACAAAAGACTTGTCTTGGTTGTTGGTCATGAGGGCAAGATCCACCTTTACCTGTCAAAGTTGCTTAGTACTCCAAGGCGATCAGTGTGTGGCTGCTGGTTGAAAATGACTTTGGATTGAACATCAAACCTTGTTCTACTTCTGTGCTCCTTTGATTCAAGTAGGAAATAATTCTAGGAACTTCTGACCCTGTGCTCTTGTTGGGAGTAATTTAAAAGCTTCATTCTTGGCACATCTTCGATGGCCAATTCTGCTGCAACAGGCCTCGTGAAGGAAGCAGCTGATTGAGTTTTCATCCTGCCTTTGTTTTGTCTTTCAAGGAAAAAATATTTGGAAGCTGAACAAGTATATGTAACTCTGACCCATTCGCTCCCGCTCCTGACTCTCAGTGACTGCTATGATACAGTATTCTATCCAAAGTCATGGCCAACTAACCCTAGGGTACCTATCACCTGGAGAAATTTTTCATAAATCTCTCATTCATGCTTAGAAGCATGAATGGGGGTATAATTAGGGGTATAATTTTTCTATCAGAAAAAGTTAAAGTTTCTACATGTAGGATAGTTTTTTCTAGTTTTGTGTGTGAGGTTTTTTTCCCCTGGATCCATCATGTCCATAGGGAGGGCACAAAATTCAACTTAGCATGGGTGAATGCTGCTTTGGCATAGATGGGGAAGAGTAGGGCAAACCTAAACATCACATACTGGCTGAAAGGATACAGCAGGACAAGTAGTTGAGAAGGTCTTCAAAGTAGAGGTGATTTTCTGGGCTCTGAGAATTATGCTTATATTTATAACAAGGATCCAATGATATGTGAGCTTCTGCTCAGTAGAGCCAGATAGAAGGTTCTAGAAGCCTGGAGGACTCTAGAATCCTTTTCCTGGGACCATTATTTGAGGTCCTGCCCAAATTACCATGCCAGAACAATGGAGAGTGTTTGTCCCCAGATGTTCCTAAGGCTTTAAGTTGGTACATCAATTCCAGTTTCCCTTTCTGGGCAAGAGTCTACTAAATCCACTTCATTGTCTGATCTCTCACTTTCTGCTAAATTAGTTCCCCCTGAGAGTCCTTCAAGAACTCAGACATGAGTAGATGTCCTTACCAGAGCAGTGTTCCCTAATTCCATAGATGTAAATTAATATCCTCTTGGTCTCCAAGGAAAGGCTTAATTTTTGGTAATCTTTGTGTCAGAAGGTAGGAAATGTTGTGAGACCTCAGAGGGTACATTTGCTTACATCGAGTGGATTATTTTTCCCACATCATGTGGGTATGGTGTTGCATACCTGTAATCCTACCACTTGGGAGGACTAAGCAGGAAGATTGTTATTACTTTGAACCCAATCTAGGCTACATAATTCAAGGTTATCCTGGACTATGCAGCAAGACCTTGTCTCAACAAACAGACAAAAAATTGGTATCCTCCTTTCCTCTTCATCCTTGTATCACTGCACCTCAGAATACTATATAAATTTTCATCACAATATGTAGTATAACTCACTAATAATATTTACTTACTTGTTTGTTCATTGTCTACTCTTCCAGAGTGTCTGACACTATCTGTTTGTTCATGTCCATACCACCAGTATCTATTACGAAGAGGACTGAGAGCAAATAGAAATGAAGAGATGGATATGCAAAGGCCCCACAACCAGAAGACCCCTGCTGATCTCCAAGGTCAGAATGAATCGCTTTGTCCCCTCTGTGTTCACAGAGTTATTGATGGTTCGGGTAAGGCATATATTGACCCTTCTTCTGTACCACACTGAAGTGTGCAGTTTTATGTCATCCTTTAGGCTAAAGATTCTTTTTGGGTAAGGACTATGTATTATTCATTTCATTCGTAATTTATTGGCCCAACAAATATTTTTGCGTAGGCACTGAGCATGTAGTGGTAAGGGAGTTATCCTCACGTACCTTGCAGAGATCCAAACTCTGTACCTCCCAGGCATGTCACAGTGTTGATAACACAGTAGAGTTCCAGGAAAAATGTAGAGTTGAGTATACAGTAGTGGGTGCTTATGTGATGACAAGATGAGCTGGGCTTCTAATTGGAAAACTTATTGCAAACACTCCCAAAAGATCTCTTCTCCTTTTCTCTCATTATGGAGACCAAGGTACCACTCAGCAAATGTCCTACAGAGACTGCAGTAAAGCACACTCGGTCCTACATTCCCTTCCCTGGGATGCTCAGACACAAATTGTTCCCTGGAGATAGCAGACTCTCTGCCAGTTTCTAGTTGTGTGTCCATGTTCTAGTCTGAGCTAATTTTGTAAGTCAAATTGCTTAAGAGTGAATATGAAATCTTTGACTGAAGCCCAAATGTATAAATACCCATCACATTTCCTTCCTCCCCAATTTTGCAATCATCCAAAAAAGCTGTTCATGTTGTCCAGCATAATTAGTTATTTATACACCCTCATGTGGTCTATTGTTCAGAATTAAATTGTCTGGTATACAGAATTTCTCTTGCAAGGCTTATTTTGCCATTTTACTGCTTTTTAGAGGCTGTTTGTAAATATGTCCTTGCGGAACCCTTTGGAATATGTCTGCGCATATCCACAATTGTGGGGACAATAATCCACTCTATGTAAGCAAATGTACCCTCTGAGGTCTCACAACATTTCCTATCTTCTGATACAAAGATTACCAAAAATTAAGCCTTTCCTTGGAGACCAAGAAGAAGGAGAGTGAATACAAAAGTAGCCACGGAAAGGTAGAAGTGGAAATCACACAGTGACGAGTCTACTGGTGCAAACGCCATTTTGCCCAAGAGGAAGCTAGTGGCCAGAAAGGGGAAATGAAAGGGACTGGTTCACAGCCTCTTGTGGGTTAGTGGAAGAGCAGGGGCCCAACTTTCTTCAGTTGACTCCACGTTCTTCCTATCAAGGCCTCTGAGTACCCAAGTACGGGACTCTCCCAGGCATCTGGGCTTGTAACTATTTGCCTCGGAACTACATGGTCCCATACAACTCTGACCTGGACTGTGTCTCTGTCTGTGCTTTATTGCTCTCTCATCTCCTCCTGAGCAGCTTGGCTGCCAACTACGATAGACAATTGTCACTCATCAGACAAAAAGTTATGTGTTCTCTTCTGTCATACTGTGGTCTGTGAGCTACATTAGTTCTCATATTTTATGCAAAACAAAACTTATTTCTGAGTGCGGGTCTGAAGGATTCGGCTTCATGGCCCAGAAAATGGTTCACCTTGGTGATGGTTCCATGTGAACTTGACATGGATGAGTGCTCTGCTGGCATTGGGGAGAGGGTTCCACAAAGGTCAGTTAGAGCCAGTGATGGATGGCTGTAGTGCTCGTCTCCATCTACATTAGCTTTGACTGTTTAACACCTTCTTAGGTTTTCTCTGGATGTGAGAATACAAGATACCGATTCCTATGTTCAAATGGGATTTTTTGGCCCACCAAGCCAGCATTTGGAATGGTAGGGTAAATGGTGTGAAGAGTCCAGAAACTCTCCTCCTAGTATACCAAATAGGATGTCAGTATATAAACCTACTACAAAGGTCCTCTATTAATTCTTACTCGGAGAAGACCTGCTGTTATATTTGGAAGATATCACATTAGATAGCCAACATTCTAACATTTAAAATTCATTATTTTCCTCTGTTATTATCCATAAAATCCCCAGATTTTCTACAGTGATACAATATTAATAAAGTGTATTAATAAATTATTAATTTATTTCCATTTACTATTTTATATATTTTAAGTTATTAAATATATAACCATACAGAAAGATATAACAGATGTAATGTACTGCTTGTCAGATTAACAGATGCTAACATTGTCCCTTACTTTCTTCATATCTCGTTTTTTGTAAGAGAAATTAAACATAATATACATAGTTAAAGCCCCCACTTACCTTGGATCATTCCCCTATATGCTTTCATATTTTAATTCCAAGCAAATGTGTCTGGACAGCGCTGTTGCCTTTCATAACTCATATAATCATTTTCATTTCCTTTTTTTTTTTGCAGTACCGGGAATTGAACTCATGACCTTGTGCTTGCCAGGCAGGCGCTGTGCCGCTGAGCTAAATCCCCAGCCCTTATAACTCATATAATCAGAAGGGGGGCAGAGAGACTTACCAGCCATGCTCAGAAGCCCTAGATGCATTATAATCTCTATGCCTTCCGACTGGATTCTGTTGTAATCCTGGCTTTTGTGTTCTTTTTCTGGTGATCTACCTACCCAGGTTAATTTCCTCCTCGTTAAAATTTGCTATTTCTTTTGCCTGAAATAGTAGTTTAGACCCCGCTCTTGTGATTTTGCCCTTTAGAACTTGTGGCCTGCTGACCTTAGCTAACTCCAAATCTTCCAAGCTCAAGTCTGTGCACTGTGGCCCGTAGTTAGGAAACCCGGTATGCTCTTGTACTGGATCCATGGGTGGATGGAATTGTTCTTGTCAGATCTAACCTGTTGGGCTCAGCTTTCTAGCACAAATGGGCAGGTTCCAACCCCATCCTCCCTTACCTCTTCTTGTTGCCCCATGCGTGGAACCAAATTCCCTGAGAAGTCACATCAGGATGGGCACCTTAAAGCTGGTGCCTATGGTGATCATGAGTGATAATAGTCAATATTCTCGAGTAATATAATCAGAATTGTAAGATTTAAGGTCTGGCATTCACATATATTCGATTTTTTCATCAAAATGATATTAGCTACTGTGTACGGAACACCTATTTTGTGGGAATCCTGTGCTAGACACTTTCTCAGTCTTAAAAATAATCCTGTATTTTATAGATTAGAAAGCTGAGGCCTACAGAAGCAGGATGTTACAATGGAAGAAAATTATACAGTTTGGAATAAGACAAGCTTGGATTCAAACTCTAGCTTTAGGACTTCTAATTTTTACTCTGTTGAGTAGTTTCTTATCTTTCCTGAACTTGGCACTAAACAAGTGGTCTGTAATGATGGCTATTGTTTGCTGCAGGACACCTGGGGTCTTGGGAAAAATGGCACAGCTAGGACACAGAAGAACTGGGATTCAGACCCAGGCCTGCTGCTCCTAAAGTTTCTCTCTTTTCTTTTCAGGGAAATGAACTCTCCATTAGTGGAAGTGCAATGGTACGCAGAGAGTGCTAAACATGAAATTAGGTCTTGGTCCCTGTCCTCCATCACTAATGTAATGTCCAGGGGTAACCTTGGACAAGTCATTTTTTCCCTCTCTCTTTTCTCTTTCGTAACATGAAGGGTTGAATGCAATAACCTCTAGGTTCTCTTCCTTCCTCCTGCTGTGTTTTGTGCTTCTGTTCAAGTCACACAGCACCAAATTGCCTTCCCAAGGGAAACAAAGGAAGGCAATGACATTGATATTTCAAAGAAGGTCAGGGTAGGACAGTGGGCAAGGCTTCTCTCTGTTGCTTGTCCTAAATCCTGAACAACTGAAACCAGTTGGATTTCTCTTCCCCTTCCCAACTTCAACTGGGAAGGGAGCCAGGTCATAGAGGGCTTGAGAGTTTAGTTGCCTAAACTCATAGCTTTTGAAGGCAAGTGTTTTCTCAATCTCTCTCTCTCTCTCTCTCCCTGCCCCGCAACTGTAGAGTATGACTAATTAAAATAATCAGTGACTGAGTTACAGGAAGGATTTTATATCTGCTCCAGGTTGCATTTTTTCTCTTTTCTCCTCAGTTCTTTATTGAAAGGATTTAAGGAATATAGGGTCACCCTTAAACTTCTATTTGCTGCAGTTGCAAAGCAGGAAAGAAATCCCATGGGGCATGTGTTGACCTCATTTGGTTCACTTTGGTAGCCCTTTTGTCCTTGGGATCAAGGACATAGTCCTTTGTACACTGAGTCCAT